ATGAAAATACAAAATCCTAAATTTCTAAATAATAAATTTTTTATTAATTAATAATTTTTAGTATTAATTAATTTTTGAAATTTTTTTATTTCAGTTATTTTTCAGGATAATGAATTGTTAGGATTATAAAATACTAAGATTATAATAATTCAAAATTTTATTTTTTCAAAATTTAATATTTAGGATTATAATATTTTTAGGATTTTAACAATTTGAAATGTTAATATTCAGAAATTAGAATATCATAATTATTTACTATTAGAACTTTAAGTTTTGAGATTTTATATTAGAATCTTAATATTACTAAATTAAATTTATTATATCAAATAAGAAATTATATAATTATCAATTAAAAGGCTAACTATAAAATAGCAAATAACATTAAAGTAAAATATTAATTTTATATAATAATGTAAGTAAAATAAATTAAGAAAGATACTATTAAAATATTAAAGAATAATTTATATAATATTAAATTAAAAAGGTTTATTATATATAGATATTACTTAATAGAAAAAGAGAAAATCTAAATTTAATAAAATTTTTTATTAGTCTACTTAACTGATTACAGTCATGTATTCAAAATTAATTTAAAAACTAAAATTAATAAAAAATTTATTTTTCTTTTTTATAATATGCTCTCATATGATGATAAAAGGTTAAAGAAGAATGTCAGTTTATGAATAATACTTTATTATATAATCATTAAATTATTAAACTAAAGAAATTTATATTATATTATTAATAATCAGATATTTAAAATCTAAAAATATTATTATTAATTAACTTTTTCTCATAACTTTTGATTAAATAATGAAAAGAATTTTGGTTAATTTTATATTAGAATAATAATAAATATGATTTAAATAATAGAAAGTACCTATATTAATATTTATTATTAAAAATAATGCTAATTTAAGAATATTCTAGCATTTGATTAATAATAATTTATTAATATTATTATTTAAAAAATCTTTAATATTTATTTAATTTTAAGTTTAAGTAATAGAGAAAATTTATTAAGTATCTAATTGGCTATTTTAACTATAAAGAATAATATTTTTTGTGAAATAATAATTGTTCTTATGAATGATTATATAAAGATTTATCAAATAAAAAAGAATTAAAAAAGTTTTAAATATAATAAAAATTTAATATGAAAACTTTTTATAATAATTGGTAAAAGTCATCTAACAAAATCTGTAATAAAAATATATTATATAGAACTTTTTTGTATTAATTTCATATAATGCAAATATTAGATAGTGAAAATCTAAATTAGTGAATAATTTTATGGTAAATATGATAAATTTTAAATTGCTTTTAAAATATGAATTGTATATTTAATAGTTACTCAGCATAAGTATTGTTAACAGAAGAAATTACAACTCTAAATATCATATGTAATCTATCAATCAATAATGATCTCATATTAGCTGATATCACTGCTGTGCCAAACAGTGATCAGCAATAATTTCTGTTTTACTTATTATGCCTGTTTCTTCTATATTTTCTGTACAGTCTGTTTATTCTATTTTGCCTGTAATTTCTTTAACATCTGTAACTTATTTTATTTCTTTTTATTATTTTTATAGTTTATATTATTTTTATTATTTTATTATATTTAAGTATATTTTTATTAAAACATATATCTATATTTAGTTAATTTATAGCATAGCAAGTAATTAGCTATAGTAAATTAATTTTGTATAAATAGAATAGCTTTTTGCTTAAGTTGTAAATTAACTCATTTGTAAGTTACTTACGAATTTCAAGTTATAAATAAAGGACAATTTTTTTTAAGATCTTGATAATCAATAAATAATAAATAATACACACAAATGTAAAAAATTAAAGATCAATAACATCAAATTTACTATTTCCTTCACTTTTAATGAACAAATTATTATTATGCATTCTTAAAAAACCATTATGATCATATCCACTATTTTTCCCATCTATTATAGCACTATTTTCGTTATTTTTATTATTGTCATTATTATTGTTTAAATCATTCATTAACATATAATCTTTAGACAAAGAAGTATTTCCAATTATTCCACCCATCCCTAATAATGTACCACATATTTCAACAGAAATACCTTTCAAATTCATCTTGTAAGACGGCTCCGGACGAACTACAGCTGTACGTGCTGTATAAGCTGCAGAATTTCTTCTTTCATCATCTGCTAACTGCTTGGGTGTAGGTCCCAATGAACGTGATGACGGACGTGTAGTAAGTAATGATGATGATGGATTAACTAAATAGCGTGAGCATGACTTCGATCGAAGCAAGAATAATATTGAAATCATTGATAACGAAATTGATGTATCACTAGTTACCTAAATAAA